GCCACAAAACAATCCACTAAGAAGATATAAAGGAATCACACAGGTATACTCTCAATTGCCTAGCGAATCCACGCCCGAATTGAACCAACCCCTATGTGCCTCTTCCAACCTCGTCCTCACCTCGGAATTGTCTTCACGATGAGCCACTCCAGAATCCACCAAAGCTTCAGGCTCGAATTCTTCGAAATCCACCGAAGAACAACTCTCTCTTTTCTGTAGAACAAACAAATAATCATTTGATGTATACTCTTTAAACCATGAGTTGAATACTCAATCAAAACATCAAAGAAAACTAGCAAAATATCTCCAGATATAAACCTTACTATTCAAAAAGAAGATCTGGAGCAGTAATCCTAGTTTTGGACTAAAACAAATACTTATAGAAATCTGGGACTACGAAGCTCGCTTGAGCGAAGACTCTCTCGCTCGAGCGAGGAACCAAAAACGCATGTTTTCCATAAGTGGCTTCGCTCGAGCCACGCAGGCTTCGCTCGAGCGCACATTTATCTCTTTCAGGTTTTTTTCCAGACACAGCATTCGCTTGAGCGAAAACTCCTTCGCTCGAGCGAGCAAGGGCGAACATGCAACTTCAAATGCAATTTTGCATTTTGCTTCGGAGGCGCTGCCCCTCAACCCCGCCTGGGCGCTGCCCCGGACTCGCTAAGGGGCGCTGTCCCCTCGACCCCCGCGAGCTGACCGGGCAGCTCGATCCCCGTCATAATTATCGAAGTAGCAATCTTGAAAGTATTAACATCACAAACTTCTCTATAAGGCACAATTCGGGTTGGATTTGCATCATAGCCTCACTGAAATAAAAATGCGAAAACAAATACAACTAAAAGGAGTTTTGTCAAACGGGATTGCCAAGAATAAAAACATAACACTAACAAGAGAGAGAGAGAGAGAGAGAGAGAGAGAGAGAGAGATTGGTGTGAGTGAGGGACCTTAGGTTACAAAAAAAAATATTGTGGACCTCTCTCATTACTAAAAGTTGGAGATGGATGTTAGACCATTTTTTCCTATAATATAACTTCTTATTATATATCATAATAAATAAAAATGAAAAAAAAAATAAATTGAGAGAGAACTGGGGAAAAAGTTTTGGTTAGTAATACATACCAAAGTAAAATAAACAATTGAAAGAGGGAGAATTTGGTTAATCACAATTGATATATCATAATAAAGTAATGTAATATAATAAATAAGTAAAATAAATGGAAATTGAGAAAGAGAACAAAGTTTGAGTAAAAAAAATTGAGAGAAAGAATTAGGAAAAATAGGGGAGAATTGATCCATCATAATTGATATATCATAATAAATAAATAAATAAAATAAAAAGAAATTGAGGAAGAAAAAAGTTTCAATCAAAAAAAATTAAGAGAAAGAACAAGAGAAAACAGTAAAGAATTGATTCATCACAATTGATATATCATAATAAAAAAAATAAAGCAAATAAATAAAATAAAAATAAAATTTGAGAGAGAAACTTGGGTGAAAATAAAGCGTACTTAACTCTATATTGAAAAAAAAAAAAATCTACTGTAATCCATCAAAAAAATAAAAGAATTTGAGAAAGAGGAAAAAATTTCAGTTAAAAAAAATTGAGATAAAGAATTGGGAAAAACTGTGAATAACTGATTGATCAGAATTGATATATCATAATAAAAAAATAAAATAAAAATTAGAAAAAACAAGTTTCAGTTAAAAAAAATTGAGAGAGAAAATGGAGTTTTTTTTTTTTTTTAAAAAAAAAAAACCAACTCTAAAACTCAAATAATCAATAAAATAAAAATAAAATTGAGAAAGAGAAAAACGTTTCAGTTAAAAAAAAATTCAAGAGAAATAAAATTGTGCGAATGGATTTAAAGAAGGTGATTATATGTATAAGAGATTGAAAAAGAAAAGGAAAAATATGCTCTGTTTTAAAAAGAGTAGACAAAATCTTAGACGACATTGTGAGTTGTCGCTCCTCTCACGCCCTTCTACTACCGATGTGCTACATTTGCTATCATGTGAACTTTCGTTTGCCAATAATAAAATATACATTTTTTTAAAACGGTTTTTTTTCTTTTTTTGTAAAAAAAAATTAAGAACAATGAATTCTTTCTTTAAAAAAAAAACACACAAAAAAAAAACAAATAAATTTTATTTCTAATACTGTACTTTTTTTTTTCTCAAAGAACTTGATAACATAATGGAAAATTTAAGAACACTGAATTTTTTTTTCAAACACACACAAATTTAACATTAAAGAAAAATCCAAATACCCCCCCCCCAAAAAAAAGCTTTTTTTTTTTTTTTTTTCCTACAGAACCTGATAACATAATGAAAATTTTAAGAATATTGATTTTTTTTTTAATAACACACACAAAATTAAGAAAACAAAGAAACAAACAAATTTTTAATACTTTGCTTTTTTTCTCCAAAGAACCTGATTACATAATGAAACTTTTTTATGAAGAAAATAAAAATTATAATTAATAATATTACACTTACAATGTAAGATGAGTAGTAGATATATATTTTAGATAATCACTCCATTAACTTGCAGTAAAACTATAAGATTGTAATGTTCTTGAATAGCCTTCCTCCACATAAAAAAATAAAAAAAATCTTGAATACTTGAACAGTCTTTCTTCAAAAGAAAAAGAAAAAGAAAAAGAAAAAGAAAAAGTTTTTGAATAAAGTGAAGATGGTGAAACTTGGAACTTACACAGCAGTTTGTGAAATGTGGGAAGTGGAAAAGTGGAAGTTATTTACTGAGTTAGTAATTTACGATTTGACCCTTCATTACAAATTGATATAAGTTTTAAAATAAAAAAATTATTTAAGAAGTTAAGGCTATTTTAGGAAAAATAATAAAAATTTATGAGACCATGGCTAAGTAGATGTTCCCTTTTAATAATAATAGAATAGATAGATATTAATTACTTGTTGGTTTCCACGTATAAAAATCCGTAGTCCACGGATTGGTTCCGGATTGAACCCCACGGTTCCGGATTGGAATCGATCCGGACCGTATACAAATAGTCTATATTCTTATTATACATCCTCCCCCATAGTATCTTCTTTTATTTTATATAAAATCTAAACTCAAACCTAAAACTGTATAATATCTTCTTTTATTACTTTTGTTTGTTAGTTTTTAGTTTTAATTTGTAATGATCTAAATACTTATGGTGAAACTAGTTTTTTTCTGGTTGTTTAAATTCTAAAACAATATGTCGCTATTATAGAAAAATATGTTGCTATTGTGGAACTAATATAGCGCTATGTTTATATTTTTATGAAATTGAAGTGTTATATATATTTTTGTTATTTAATTATGTGAATCCGTGGTCCTAAACCGATCCAATCCTTATTTAAATGGATTGGTTCGAATTTGTTCCATGATTTAAACGGATTGGATTGGTTTCAATTTTTCAGGAACCGTAGATAACGGATTGATCCTGGTTTTACCCCAATCCGGTTCAATCCGGACCATGCTCACCCCTAACTGCATTGCAATTTGTGAAATGTGGGAAGTGGAAATGTGGAAATTATTTAGTGAGTTAGTAATTTATGAGCTTACTTTTATTACAAGTTGATATAAGTTTTAAAACGGTGGTATTATATGTACTAACTAATGTATTAATTAGTGTACTAATACATATTATTATTGACCTCACTTATTATAAAAATTATAAATTTTAATTTTTTTTAATTATATCACATTATTAATTAATACATTAATTAGTATACTAGTTAATACATATAATATTATTTATTTTAAAATAATATAATTATTTAGGAAGTGAAGGCTGTTTTAAAGAAAATAGTAAAAATTTATGAGGTCATAGCTTTAAGATTTCAAAGTGGATGTTCCTTTTTAATAATAGAATAAATTTATTCTTTCAATGTGTGAATTGAAAAAATGTCCACAAAATAAAAATGATGCATGAAAAAAAAAGTTTCCAATTTAATCACTAGAGTCGGTGGTGTTTGGGAAGTTTGAGACTTGGGTTTTTTTTTTGTTTTTTTTATAAAAAGACAAATTTTTTGTAAAATCAAAAAAAATACATTCAAACAAAATATCACATCTAATTCCATAATCATTTCACTTTTTCTCTCACAAACATCACATCCAATCACAAAAAACTTAACTATTTTCCCAAACACAAAAAAAAATTTCTTTAATAATATTCTACAACTAAAAAAATCTACATAAAAACTCACTTCCCAAACACCCACTAAATTATCAAAAACTGATGCCAATCAACGGTTGTGATTTCTTGTGCACAGAGTAGCGTGTCCTAATAGGGGGTGAGATTCGCCCAGGGGGGCAGGGCGGCACTATATAATTAGGGGTAAATTGAAATAATGTAGATAAGTATATTTTTTAATTTTTTTTATGAAATATGAGTTGAATTTGAAATGATGTAATAGAGAGGTGATGTGACTTAAATAAAATAATGTGATTTAAATAGAATAGTGACTTTTTAACTTTTTTAGAGTATCTCAAACATGGCCTTTTAATATTGAATCTTTATATTTGTTTAAATTTAATCTAAAAAATAATTATAAATCTCAAATTCATCCACTAAACCTAATAAATATAAATTATTTAGTTATTGTTCTGAAAGGCTATTAAATTATTTAGACCATTTTAAATTTCATAAGTTGTAAATGTATTTATGAAGTATGAATATTTTAAAACTTATGAAATGCTAAAGTTTTAAATATGTATTACCATATAAGCATGTTAATAAAAAATAAGGCTAAAGTTATCATGTAAAAATATTTAATTACAGCTTGACTTAAAATGTTTTTACCAATTTCTCGAAACACCGTATCATGCTAAAAATATTGATGATGCAACCCGAGAAATAACTTTTCCAAAAGCAAACAAGCTGATCTGCTGGATCTCATGACCAACAGAAAAAAAAAATGAAAAAAAAAGTCAAATCTCAGAACCTACTTCTATACATTTACGTAATTCGGCAACATAACGAAGGACAAATATGTCAATTCACAACCACTATACCAGCACCGCTTTGAAAAGTAGAAATCTATAATTAAAGAGACAGAGCAAGCAGCCACAGAGAAACTCCGACGAAGACGACGATGGCGCCAACACCAGCAGCGATCCGGTGCTCCGGCGTCGCATCTGGTCTCCTGCTGCTCCTCTTCTTCCTTCTCATCCAACCGTCAATTTCCATTTACTGCGACGAAGACGATTGCTACGATCTTCTAGGGTTCATCTCTCTCTCTCTCTCTCTCTCTCTCTCTCACTCCTCTGCTCAGCTCATTACTGATTGCATTCATCTTTATCTTTTCTAGGGTTTCTCAAAGTGCTAATTCTTCAGAAATCAAGAAAGCCTACTACAAACTCTCCTTGAAATAGTAAGTTTCGGTTTATATATATATATATATATATGTATGTATGTATGTAGACATTTACGGAGACATGTGTTCATTTTCCATGATTTGTGTGCAGTCACCCGGATAAGAACCCCGATCCCGATTCGAGAAAGTTTTTCGTTAAAATTGCTAATGCTTATGAGGTATTTACCGCTTCTTAATTTGATGATCCTGAATTGCTTTTGTAATTTTCATACCTAGTGATCACATTAGTCGCTTTTTAAGTTTTTTTCTTTCATCTTAGCATTGTTATGTATTACTTCACACATGAATCTATGATTTAGCTAGAAATGAAGCATTTGTAACCTCAACATAGATGACAAATAAAAGTCCTACATTTTTTCCATCTTATTCAATTTCAAGTGTATTTCTACATAATTTACAACAAGGGCCGGCTCAAGACAAATTGAGGCCTAAAGCAATAAGTTACAATGAGGTTTTTTACAAATTTTTAATATTATGTGAAATTATTATTTAAAAGTTATTTTTCTAGGATTTTGATAGACGATATAACCAATTATATCAAGTTTTGTTGATATATTTTTTTAAATTAGTAGTATAGTTAATCCACTTATTCTCTTTTATGCCAATAATACAAGCATTTGGGAAGGACCAAACTTTTTTTTTTTTAACATAGTTTAATACTTCAATTAATTCTAAAAATTCTTCTAAAATTGTATTGTCTCATTACCAAATTTCTCATCAATTCCAAACATTAAGGAAGATGAAAATGTAATATTTTCTATTGTTACACACTACAACATATTTGGAAGAAAAAAAAATGCTACACAAATTTATAATTTTTATTAGTGTTTTTTTTTTTTTTTTTATAATTTTTATTGATTGATCCTTGAGCAATAAAAATTTAGAACTTGAAATGAGATATACTACAATATTATTATAGAGAAAATGTCATACAATTTGTAAGAAAGATGTCACAAGAGTAAGAAATGTTTGTAAAAATTGTTAGTTTAGCAAAAGAACTCATATTATAGATTTATTTTAGTTAGTAAAAGAAATTATTAAAAAATATTTATTTGTATAATATTACTCTTTCTAGATAACAATGCTAGGCATTCTTTCTTAATGGGTGGAGCCTTTTTTTTTTTAATAAAAGAATGATAAAATTATACAGGCCTTAATTATAATTTTCAAAAATTTGGGGCCTTAGTTATATTTGTGGCCTAAAGCATTGGCTTTGATGGCTTAAGGGTTAAGCCGGCCTTGATTACAACAATCTTATCTAAGAATGTTATGTAATATGTCAGTGTTTTAAAAGGCACGCTTAGGCGTGCGCCTACGCCTTGCACTTCGAACAGGTCGAGGGAAGGCACAATACGCCAGGCGCAGCTTAGGCTCTGAGGCGAGGGCTTTTTTCCGAGGCACGAGGCATAGGCTTTTTTTCGAGGCGCGAGGCGTGAGGCATGGGCTTTACAGGCTTTACCTATTTTTCTACTCCAACTGTTAACTAAGTGCTTTTTGTGAGGGTATACCTGCAGGGATTCAAAACTCTTCAATATAAAATGACCAAACATGATCAAAAGAGAGCAAAAAGTGATAAAAGATTGAATGTTATGCTTTATATCTTTTGTTGGATATTATATTTCTAATTTTTAAAAGATTAAGTTCTCGTTTGAGAACAGACTATTGTAGTAATTTTTTGACTTTTTATGAAAAGATGTGCAAAAAAATAGAGAGAATGATGTGACAACTTATAATGTTTTTTTGGCTTTTTGGCTAAAACTAAAGGTTACCAAACGAAGCCTAAATGTTATATTTAAAGATTATCGAAAATGGTTGTAATCTTTGAAATTCTATATATATTTATTATGTTGAAAAGTTTGCCTATTTTATAATTTTGATTTTCTTCTACTACTTGTGCTTCGCTTTGGTGAGGCATGCGCCACACCTCGCCTCGTGCCTCGTGCTTAGACTGTATGAGACTTTATCACCTCGGTGAACCTAGAGCCTTTTAAAACACTGTAATATGTAAATATATGTGTGTGTCCATAATGAGTCACCGTACACATATTCTATTTTGGATTCATATCACAATATCCTAAAATTTAAAGTTGATGAAGGTCTGGCGCTTGGACATGCAGCCGTACGTGGTACTCATACCCAAGTCTATATAACATAAGTAGAAACAATCAGTGTGTTTGGTTTGAGTTTTCTGAATTAAGTTTTTTGAAAACTGACTTTTTTGGTTTTCGTGTTTTTTTTGTTTTCAGTAAATATTTTTTAAATTTTAAACATTTTTTTTTACTTTTTTAGATGCACCTTACTTAGATGTATCTAAAAAGTAAAAAATTTGTGAAAAAATATTTTAAAAAATTAATAAATACATAAAAATACAAAAATGTACTGAATTCTTGTATTTTTTTTTTTTTTTGTATTTTTGGTATTTAGTGAATTTTTAAAAGATTTTTTTACAATTGTTTTTCTTTTTAGGTGTATTTATGTTAGGTGTGTTTAAAAAGTAAAAAAATTGCTTAAAATATTAAAAAAATTCAGTAAAAACAAAAAAACACGGAAAATAAGAAAGTAAAATTTTCTGAAAAGTATTTTTTGAAAAGTAGAAACAAGCAAGGTATATTATTTTGATTTCCTCATTTAACATATTTTCTTTAAAATTTTTGTATATGGCTTGCAATACTATTTTTGTTGGAATTTCAAGAATGTGGGGCCGAAACAATATTGAATTTACTTCGTTTTGCGCTTATAGTAGAAAGGAATTGTCTCACTTTTCACAGATTTTAAAAGATGAAGCCACGAGGGAACAATATGATTATGCAATTGCACATCCAGAGGAGGTAAGTAGACTTTTTTTTTATTTATGCCAATTGCAATTTATTCATTGTATCCTTATTGAGGCTTGGAAATGCTAAGGTAAGGAGGGTGTGTCTTAGTTAACAAGGTTTTAATGACTAGAAAAATACCTGGTAGTTTGAGAAAAAAGTATATTAGTACATATATAAAAATAAAGGAGATATCTAAAATTGCAACAATTATAAAGTCATCAAGTTAATGAGCCATACAATGAAATTGTGGAAGAGAGATTGAACATCCCTTAAGGATAAGAACAATCGTATTAGAGAATCAATTTAGATTTATGCCTGATAAATCAACTATGGAAGCAATTTGTTTACTAAGAAGATTACTAGAAAAGTACATAGATAAAATGAGGAATCTACATATAGTTTTTATAAATATGGAAAAATGCTTGTGATATAGGGTGCCCAGAGATATAATATAGTGGGTAGTGGAGAAAAAATGTGTAACAAAAAGGTAATTTGATGCAATAGAAGACATAAATAACAAAGATGTGACTACAATTAGATTACTTGTAGGAGAAACTAATGAATTACTAATAGGGGTGTTCAAAAATCCGAATTACCAAAAGATCTAACCCAAACCCAACTGACCCGACCATAATATGGGTGGTTTCGCCAATCAAGCAGTTGGCTGCAATTCAGTTTCATAAAAAATATTTAATTTTTGATTGGATGTTAGGCTGAATGATTCAGAATCTGTCTAACCCGAACCGACCAAATTATGTATATGCATATATTTATCTTCTTCAATAATGGTGTCAGGTTTGTTTACCTAGATATTTTAAACATGCAAGACTCATCTTTAATTTTAATTCTTTTCTTCCCAAAGCAAATATATCTCCTGATGCACAAACTGACCCTTCCCTTTAATAAATAAATAAATAAAACAAATGATTTCACTACACAACTCTTTTGTCTCCCCACTCCTTAATCCACTCAGTTCTCTCTCTCATCTTTCTCTTACACATTCTTATCTCCATTTCTCTCTCTTTATATCTCTCCCACCCTTCCCATCAATAAATTAAAAGAAAAAAACCCTTCCCAAGAAGAGATTGGACAACTCACTAGGTCTCCTCAATCCTCCCGTTTCTCTCTCCCTCACACCTCTCATCTTCCTTTCACCCACACACTTTCTTTATTTCTCTATCTATCTCACCCTCTTTCGTCTCTCTTTTTCTATCAAACATTTCATTTCCCTCTCTCTTGTCTCACCAGCTTATTTTTCTCCCTTATACTAGATTTACATCTCTCACGATTTGCACTCTCTCAATATGTCACTCCTTTACTTGCAACTAGAACTTCTCACTCTAAGATCATGACAGCAAACAGCCTAAGATTGTGGTGGAGGGAGGCAATGGCGCAAAAGCATGGCAGTGAAACCCTCAGCTCTTCATCCTTTGAAAATTCTCTCCTCTTTCCCATACCCTCTAGTTTGAAATCTATTGTTCAAGCTTGATTATAGCAACTACCAAAGTCTGGCCGTAGTTTCTCCCATCCAAATCGAACGGTTTCGAACAACGATTTGGTCGTCATCGGATGATTTTTTTTCCAAACCGAAGTTGTCTGTTCGGGTGACAGTGAACGGCAAAACTGAGCTGATCTGACCCATGAACAGCCCTAATTACCAATCACTGCAAGGTTTCATCAAGGGTTAGCTTTACTTCTTTACTTATTTGTCGTAGTCATGAATGAATTAATTAAACACATTCAAGATGACGTCTCATGGTGTATGTTGTTCGCTGATGATATCATTCTAGTGTAAGAAGCAAGGACACTTCTACAAAGGAAGCGTGTCATGTCCAACACCTATGTTTGACACCGACACTCTTTGGACACTTCTAAATGTGTGTTCGACTCTTCTTCAACATGCCTTAGTTAGAAAATCAAATTCATAATATTGGACATTTTATTGACACTTCACAGACATTTCAATGACACTTGTTGAAACCATCTAAACACATCTTGTGTGATGAATACCTTCCTAGTAACAATGTATTGCGTTCTTCAAAACACCAATTATGCACCCTAAATATAATACATCATGTGGTATTATAATGTTCTATATTTGTTTTGCATTTTTTATAATGGAATTCTTATGTGAATAATATCTTAATATTTGAAGTTATGAAATATATAACTTTTTAATCTAATCAGTGTTATGTTACATATATATATATTTGTATTATCTTTGAATACATTATTCACATATATGACATTGAAATATAATAAATTTGTAAAAAGTATAGAATTTTATGTGTCCCAAACTTGTCGTGTCTTGCATTTTTTAAAATTGGCATGTTAGCTTGTCACATGTCCATGTATGTGCTACTTAGGTTCTAGTGGATGAAATTAACACTAAATTAGAAATCTGGAGATGAGCACTCAAGTTAAAAGGGTATAAGTTTAGTGGAAATAAATCGTAATAGATGGAATAGAAGTTTAGCAACAATAGAAGTGGAAATAATGGAAAGTAAAGATTGAAAATTAGGAGATAACAAATAGTGAACATTAAGAAGGATGCTGAGGTTGGGGATGATTTGATTCATAAAATAGGTTGTCTCGAGTGGAGGACTGTACATGTGTGATTAATGAATATCAACAAAATTGATAGTAAAATTTTATAAAACAACTATAAGGTCAACGATGCTTTGCAAGACATAGTGTTGGGCAACTAAGAAGCAACATGTATATAAAATTAGTGTAGTCGAGATGAGAATGCTTAGATAGATGTGTGGTAAGACTAGAAAAGATAGAATTAGAAGTGAATATTTCATGAAATGGTAGGAGGAGAACTTAAGTTGAGAGAAACAAATTAAGATGGTTTGGTCATGTACAACGAAGATCTATGGATGCAACCGTAAGAAATAATGATAAGATCAACATAAATGGAGATGATAGGGGGAGGGAAGACCTAAGTTGACATGAGATGCAGTAGTGAAAAAGATGTGAACTCATTTAATTTAATTGAACATATAGCTCTTGATAGAGTTGAATGGAGAAAAAAGATTTCATGTAGCTGACTCTACTTAATTGGGACACAAGGCATAGTTTGATTTGGTTTGGTTATAGGTATGTAGACAAATTATTAAAAACTGGTTTCCTATCAGCTGCATTCCATTATCTACTATCTATCATTTCTCTATAGTTTTCCTTAGCCAGCATCACAATCAGATATTTAAGGGCTTCTAACTCAGTTTCTAGTATATTCTAGATCATTGTACGTGTCAATGTTTATGGCTTAAGAAATACTAATGTTATTTAGTAGTTTAACCTTTTCCCTGCACACCTTGATTATTACTTCTCAGTTGTTTGAATTAGTATGAAATTTTGTCTCTAGATTAGGTTCGTTACCTCAATTTCTCGAAGTAGGCTACTCACCGAAGAAATATTGAGTTCCTAGAGAAATTACTACTAATTGTGAAAGCATTAATTCATTAATTTAGTTTAAAGTTGATAAAAACTTCATTTGTGGTTTATCAGTGCTGCAGTTTTTCAAGCATGGTTTAGGATACCTACGTGATATTGTCCATTGCAGGTGACTTTGTTTGGGGCCTGAAAAGTCCGAAGGTCATGAACCATGCTTCAAGTAGTTGTGGGAGTAAAATGTTTTCTAAGCTGTTCTGTTTTGTCAAAATTGACACTGAAAATGATTTTGCTGCGTCTACCTATATAGCCTTTTGCTTGGTTTGAATCTTTGGATATATTTTGTGATTTTCACAGTGGATATATGATGTGAGCTCCAGTTCTGTGGGACTGTTATATGTTCTGGCCAGAGACATTTTGACACGTGTTTATAGTTATGTTATGTTCTTTAGTCTAGGAGGCTGAACATGTAGGATAGGAGGTTCGTAGAGAGCAGTCCAATTACTCATGAGGCAAACCAGATTGAGAGTGTATCTACTAGCTCAGACCCATGGACATGAATTCTGGTCCTGTGGTCCTGGTGGTTGAGAATTAGTTATAGCCCAAGGAAACAGGCAGTTGTTATCCTATGTAGTACCCTAGTGGTTCAAGGACTAACGGATGGTAATAGAATTCTGGCTGTAGATATTCTGATGTCTTACCTTGTGCCATGATTAGGTAGTATAAGATTGGCTTGTGCAAAAATTCAAGTCATAATAAACTGAACAATGAAAATCTCTGTGAATAGTAATTTTCAGGTGTACTCCCCAATTCAGCTTAACAGTTCTAGTTATGTTTGTTACACTTTGTTATTTTGATTTTTCCCCCCTCTTTCACAAGACAAGGAAAAAAGATAACCAAACTTGCAATTTTGAACATGCAACATACCATTTATTGGAAATTGTTATATTCTTAATGTGATGAGACTCAACATACAAACTTTAGTAAGTTTGCAAATCATCCTTATGATATGTATGTGTGCGTATATAAATTTTTCCAGCTGTTGGAATTCTACTTGATATTGATTATCTTGAATTTATCGTAGGCATGGATGCCATACAACCCTGTGCCATTTCATAGTAAACAATTTTGGTCTTCAATCATTGTATTCAATTCAAAGATCTTGGCAATTACAAATTCATTCGAAATATCTAAGATGTTAATCTATTTTGGGTTTAGCGTTAGGCATGCAGTGTGTTCTGCGGTAGTCATTTTAGTTTCAGATGTGTTCTTTTTCATTTCAAGACAAGATCTCACCTATTTTAATCTAAACCTCTGGATTGAGTCATTTGCTTTGTGCCATGGTTTTTCAGTGTTACATTATTTAGAGCATTTTGTGGTAAAATATGTAGTCTTGATGTATTTTGGCTTTAAAACCTTGTCATCTACAAATTTTTCCTTAAATTTTTTTGATGTTATGCTACTGTATGGGCATCTCTTTCTCTCTAGGAAAGAACATATTTGTTACAAAGTGATTATGTGTATTTCATGGCATCAATCATTTATTTGCCAATGCTCAACAATTTAGTTTTACTAAACTTCAGATTGCAACTGTTATCAGTAAGAAAGTTTCTGATTTTTTCTTGATCTAGGTATTTTACAATACAGCTCGCTACTACCACGCATACTATGGCCACAAAACAGTGAGAACTTCTTCATCTCTTCCCTGATGTTGCACATTTTTATTTTATTTTTGGTTGGAAATTATTTCCAATATTGCACAGAACTTTGCATTGCTGTGTTGTATATTACTCCATATGTTTTCTGTTGCCAGGATGCTCGTGCTGTCCTTGTGGGTCTTCTTTTGGTTCTCTCAGCATTTCAGTATCTAAATCAATGGACGAGGTATAATCAGGTAACTGGATATGTCAAATATTACTTCAACATGATATTAGTGCTGTCTTCTTGCCATGATGTTTGATGAAGAAGCCAAATGTTGGTATGCAAGTATGGCCAGAAAATTTCAGTCAGCTGACAGTTCTGATCATTATCATTAATTTCTAATTTCTATTCCCAGTGCTTGTACAATGGGCGATCCATGAAATTTTGCATCTTTGCTAAATACCGAATGCTATATTCTAAAAAAACAATGATGTTAATTGTGAATTACCTCTTTATCTTCATTTAAATTATTTTTATCAATGATGGTATTTTTGCCTTGGAAATATGGTCATACTGTGCCGTTACACACTCATCATTTTTGTTTGTAAGTATTCATTTATTAAAGGGAAAGTGTGATATTGTCTTAACTACATTATTAAATTGTAGGGATTGGTAAAATAAATAAATATGTATATATGTATATAATGAAAAGTCTGTTTGATTATGCTAAAATGCTGGTTTTTGTCTCCGCCTGTGCTTAAAATGTCTTCATTTGTTAATACTTATGGATAACCACTTCATCTTGCAGGCTATTGACATGGTCAAGAAGACTCCAGCTTACAAAAATCGGCTTCATGCACTGGAACTTGAACGCAGTGGAGGGATGACAAACAAGAAGAAGGGTCAAAAACCGATGGACAAGTACAAGCTTGCTTAGTGTTTCATAATTGCATGATGTTTTTTTTGTTGAACATATATGTGGACAAGTGATGACGTGTGGTTCTTTTGAACTTTTCTGCTTTTGTACAATTCCATTTTATGGTTCATAACTGTGGTTAATGTGGGGTGAACCATGTTTTCATGATAGGAAGATGACAGAAGACCTCAGCAAGGAACTTGATCTGCAGATAACGGGAGCTGAAAAACCATCCATGTGGGAACTTCTTGGTGTTCGCTTCATACTCCTACCATACACTATTGGAAAGGTTAGAAAAAAATTACAAAAAAATTTAAACAATGGTGAAACTTCTGGTTTTGATCTGTTTCTACGTCAGTCTTCTGCTTGGCAAAAACTCAAAAAACTGATCTTAGGTCATTCGCTTCCAGAATTACTAATCACTTTTCTATTTTACAGCTATTGTTATGGCATGCATGTTGGCTCTGGAGATATCAGGTTAAACGAGCTCCACATTCCTGGGAAGATGCTTCCTACCTAACTCGAAGATCCCTAGGGGTCTCTCTTGATAAATGGAGAAGCATAGGTATATATAGAATTTTCTCTCAGTCATCACCATCTATTTGAAGATCATTTAAATTCTTGCAAGGGGAGCATTTCCTGTATATGCTATTTGTTTGTTTCAACCATTTGTCATGGGCTGTTGTCCATTCCAAAAGAAACCTAACCCAAAAAAATATGATAAACCAGAATATTGGTTGAGTGGTTAGTCCCAGCCCCTGCACATATATCACTTGTACAGTTGCACTGATATGATTTTGCATTCCTCATATTTGTTGTACTGATCTGATACTGGGTGTGGTTTTTTTAGATGAATCAACGCAAGAAGATCTTATTCAGAGACGTTTATGGGAAAAATCCAACTTGGAGAGCTACCTAGCAGAAATGCGTAAAGAATCAAAGCGCAGAAGATAGTGAAATTTGTTGCCCGCAGTGTCTTTCACCCTGTAATCGGACAACATAATTTTTTTATACGAAGGCTATACACAAAACTGAAACCCAATCATGCTTCAACAGCAGAAGTTTGGGTCCATGGTTGATATTGGAGAGGCGGAGGATAATTATTTTTTGAAGAATCCCTCTATTTAGTTGGAGTCCATAACAAAGTTGTAGAACTTGAAATATGACAGAGGGTCGGCTCATAAGAAAGATTTTTGTGGAGTTTATTTAATTGTCATCCATAACATGATTTAATATTACAATATGATGCTGATATCAGGTACCTGTCTTTGTGATCCTATATACTCCTTGTATTTGATTTTAGGCAATAAAAATGAAAATTCATGAGAAGTATTCAAGTGTAGGTTCCTTTGATTTCTTTAACAATGCGTGGAAAATGTTACTCATTGTGACCTCTGATCCTTGGCTTTGTTATTTGCATGATTGTTTATGTTCCTTCAGTTTCTTCATATTCTAACCATTATATTGTTGAAGATATATATAGGAAGTGTTCAAATAGGAATAAACAGTGTGGATCTCATGAATTTAGCTTGCTTTCTCGTGCAATGGATGCAATTTTTGAAATGGCATATGCAGATATGAAGTTAAATAATGCTCTCTTTAATGGAAGGCTTGCTGATACATAGGAAAGAGCCCCGCTACATCCACACAAAATTTGGCAGTCCGACCCCCCTGACTGACGTGATCACTTTGGAAAGGTAGAATCCCATCTCTCTTCTTCTTCCTCTTCTTTCTTCTCCTTCTCTGTTGGTGCTTGCCTCCTTTGCCACCCTCAGATCTGAATCTGTGAAGAAAAAAAAAAGAATGGCCACCAACCTCCACACCCTTGCCACCACTCCTTTGCCAACCTCCACACCCTCGCCACCACTCCTCCGCTGATCACCATCGCGCCTCCACAGTCCCCAATCACTTACGCAGCCTTCCTCCGTTGTCCAAACCACACCATCGGCCACACCCTAGGTCGCCACCCAAAACCCGTGCTCTCTTTAATGGAAGGCTTGCTGATACATAGGAAAGAGCCCCGCTACATCCACACAAAATTTGGCAGTCCGACCCCTGACTGACGTGACTTCACTTTGGAAAGGTAGAATCCCATCTCTCTTCTTCTTCCTCTTCTTTCTTCTCCTTCTCTGTTGGTGCTTGCCTCCTTTGCCACCCTCAGATCTGAATCTGTGAAGAAAAAAAAAAGAATGGCCACCAACCTCCACACCCTTGCCACCACTCCTTTGCCAACCTCCACACCCTCGCCACCACTCCTCCGCTGATCACCATCGCGCCTCCACAGTCCCCAATCACTTACGCAGCCTTCCTCCGTTGTCCAAACCACACCATCGGCCACACCCTAGGTCGCCACCCAAAACCCTTCACCTTCCTAGATCCATCTTCCTCCGTCGTCCAAACCACACCATCGGCCACACCCTAGGTCACCACCCAAAACCCTTCACCTTCCTAGATCCATCGTCAATCACCACCATGAACCACCCACTCCCTTTCACGAACCTCACTGCCGCAAGTCCAAACCCCTTTTCTGCTGCTACAAATTGCGGGTCATTGCATCGGAGAGAGAAGCAAGAATGGTAGGGAAACATCAGAGAGAGAAGCGAGAATGGTAGGGAAGTACAAGCTTGCTTAGTGTTTCATAATTGCATGATGTTGCGTCAGCAAGAGGGTAGAAGAAAGAGATGGGAGTTTTGAGAGAGAGAGAGAGAGAGAGAGGAGCGTGAGTTGAGATTTGGTTGTGAGAGATTGAGAGGAGTGCAGGTTTCAAATGGCGCCAGCTAATTCGGGGCAATTGGGGGCTCCTTTTTGTGTGGGATTAAACATTTATCCATAGGAAAGAGTAGGGTTGCCCTTAATTTGAGATTTGTATGATTGCTTTGACATGAAGATGGGATAATGTGAAATGGGGCTGACTCTGCAATTCATGCTATTTTTTAACATAATTTTCAAATTTGAGCAGTTTTGAATTTATTTTTCTAACTTATTCCTTTTGAGCAAACTATACTCCTGTATTCCATCGTGTTCGTGGCTTCCTCCGGACAGAATGATTTGGCATTACTCCAGGTGTGGCGTTTTCACTGTTAAATCTGCTTATGATCTGGGCCTTTCATCAACAAATTTGGAGCTGCAAGCGAGTGGGTCTGATGGTGGCAAGGGTTTGGCTAGTTTTTGGAAAGCTTGTAGAAATTGAATATCCCGCCTAAAGTGAAAATATTTGCATGGAATGTGTCTTAACATCCTCCCAGTGAAGGCAAAGTTGATCTAGAAAAAAATCCCAATTTCCGGTGAATGTGCAGTATGTGCGAATCAGATGGAGACAACAAGGCACTGCCTGTTTGAATGTGAATTTGCTAAGGAGGTGTGGTCGGCAGCGGGTTTGAGCAATCTTTGTTAGTGTGGGAGGAATTGTGGAATACTTGATTGGGTTTGGCGCTTGCTTATTCATAATGGGGCTGAGGTTTTGGGTTTGGTTTTTGCAATCTGTTGGAGGATATGGCTCAATAGAAATCAGTGGGTATTTGGGCGTAAGTATAAATCGGCAAGTCAGGCTGCAGCATTGGCTAGATGTAGTCTGGATGAGTTTATTTTTGTGAGAAGTCAAGTGCACATTGTTGAACAACCTTGTTTGGTGGAGCAATGGTCTTCCCCTCCTATTGCCAGCTGCTATATGGTAAATTGCGACGGTGCAACATTCAAAAGTGATGGCTTTTCTGGTATTGGTGTTGTGGTGCGTAATGAGAGATGATCGGTGATGGCTTCGTTGTTTGAGAAAAATCCCATTGATGTTAGATATAGATTGCTTGGAGGTGTGGCAGCTCTTCGTGGTGTATTTTTGCACAAGAATTGGGGCTCACTTCGATCCAATAGGAAGGGGATTGTATTGATGTGATAAGAGCTATTGGTGGAGTCGAGTCTGAGTGATCTTCCTATGGGCATTTTGTGGCTAGTATTCGGCAAGTGATGGATTCTTTTCAGATGCACCAGGTTTCGCATGTTTGTAATCAGGGAAATCATGTAGCGCATTGTTTAGCTCGAATGACAATTTGGTTTGAAGGGGTGAGAGTTTGGATGGAAGATGTTCCTTCTTCGATTCAATATCTTGTTCAGTTGGAGGCTTTGCTTGAGAGTTCTTAGTTTGTGTATTCCTCTATCTAAAAATAAATAAAAATAAAAATAGAAATTACGATACTCCCTCCTTGATCTACTAATTTTTTTAGAAAATTATAAATACACCTTAGATTTGTTAAAATTATAAATTCTCCTTTCACGTTTTGGAAATTACAAGCATCTCTTTGTCAGAATTTTATTTATTTTATTTTTTTGTAACTAACCTAACAGAAAAAATAAAATTATCCAAATATATTCTTTATCAAAACGAAATTATCATACTACCTTCATTTTCATCCATAACCACTAAATCTTTCTCTTTACACCACCACAATATTTTCTAACTCTCATCGATGACGTACAAAATATTTGTAGATAGTAATGACAGTGATGCTGATCAAGAGTGTGAAAAGATGGTGCGATGGTTGAGCAAAATAGTATTACTAGTACAAAAAAAAAATGAGAAATAAAGAAAAAGAGATATGTAAAAAGAAAAAATAAAATAAAATGTTTTGCCTTCATAAACGTGAATATAGATATTTTTAGAATTTTTTATATATTTTATGTTAATGATTGATTAACAGAAGAGGTCAATTGTGACGTGATTGAAAATTTTAAAAAGTAAAATGTAATTTCCTAAACGTGTGATAGAAATTTGTATTTTTAATAAATTTTAAGAGGCGTATTTTAAATTTGCTCTTTGCATTTTGGGATACAGATTTTGTTTGGGGGAATTAGAATAGGCACTCATGCCTTAAGTCAATTTCTGAATTTTTTTTTGGTGATTAGACCCAAACTCTAATCTCTTTGGACAAAAGGATGACTATCTGTTGAAATCAACATATGTGTTATTTGTTAAAATTTATCAAACCAATTATTTGTTGAAATATAACACGTCACTAATTCGACAACATATTTATTGAATATTACACATTTATTTATTGAACCACTACCATCTACTGTCACTGACCGCCAGTCACTGTTGTCAGTGACTTTTTTGGTAACTTTTCTAGCTAATTTTTTGGCACCTGTGACTTTTTCTAGTGTGTCCTTATCACTAAATAAAACTTTACCTTATATCTAAGGATGTAAATGAACAAAGCCATTTATGAACAAACTAGACCTCGACTTAGTAAGAGTTCGTTCGAATTCAATTCGTTAAATTTTTTTCAAGTTCAAACTCGTTAAAATCTTAATAAATAAGTTCAAACATTCTAAAGTTCGGCTCATTAGGTCGGCTAATTAGTCGGGCTCGTTTAATATTAATTTAAATAATAAAATAAATATATTATTTATACACTAAATAATGTAAATGTAGATAATAGCTAAATTTATTTATATATAAATAATTGGTACGTATAAATAATACATTTATATAATAGTGGTGATAGATGTTATTATTTTGATAAGATATTAATTTCTTTAGTATGTTTACATATATTGTATATATAATTATATAATCAATATTTCAATTGTAATTTTAACCCGTACCCATATAGTGCACAAAGCGGTTACTCCGTGACTTCAACCCGTACCTAATATTTGGATACATAACTCAAGGTTATTAGGCCAAGATTTTACCATTAAACCAATGGTAAAACTTGACTTACAATGTATGAGATCAAGTAGATATTGAAGTGTTAGAAAAATCAATTGGATTCAACAAATCAACTCGAAATCACTTGTTCTGCAAACATTACAATGATTTTTGAGGGAATCAAAGCTCATTTAATAACTAAAACCAAATCAAATTAGAAAGATGAAGTAGAAATCATGTACAAATCCATAAGGTAAAAAATAGAAACGTGTATGAGAAAAATTATTTCTACATCAAAACAAATTCAAAACCTTAAACACTTGTTGAATATTAAAATTTCGATCAATGAGAAGATTCGTAGGGATTTGATGATACTGATGTTGTATTATATTCTGCAATCATATGAGAAATAAGTAACTGGAGAAAGAAATGCAAATATTTATATAAGAACACCGCGTAGAGCTCTTTTGTCATGATCCGGCTGTTATGATCATTGTCAAAGAAATCGAACACCTCACGTAGCTCCGAGTTGTAAGCCGGCGACTCAAATGCTGGTTTGGAGACTTGATTCAACCTCCATACCCAACTCGCCAAGAAGATCCGATTTGCCATCAGATCTAATGGCTGAGAAGTCACTATGATAGCGTTTGACGAGTAACAGGTGAAGATAGTGGTGCCGGCGCAGATGAAGGACTGGACGCGTTGGAGCAACGGCAGTGAAGGCAGCGGAGTAGTGGCTCAGCAACGATGATAAAGACACAAGAGAACACAGAGAGAGAGAGAGAGAGAGAGAGAGATCTAAGAGCATCTCCAACGATGAATCATTTATTTCACCAAATTTGAGTAAAAACTTCATTTGATATCTAGCATTCCAACGGAGCATTTTTGGCTATTATCAATATATAAGTCGATCGGGCAAACAGCCAGCCGGACGTCTGGTCGGCAAAAGCAATCCATCACTTTCAAGAGTATGCTTTGTTGTGAGAAGTTTTCTACTAACCAGATGATCAGGGAGACAACCGATTAGACGTCCGGCTGGTCATTTGGTTCTACAAAATCAACGGTACCAAACAGTGAAATGCTGAACGCTTTCAGACATCCTCTCTTTAATGAAATATTTTTGATATTATTAATTTGATACCGGTTTGATGAAACCGTTGGAGTTGAAAAGGACTTCTTTTTCATCAAATTCAAATTTGATGATAACTTTCATGCAGCGTTGGAGATGGCCTAATGAGAAGAGAGAATGAGAGAGATCTAAGGGCTATTAAAAAGCTAAAAGTAAGTTTTTTTAACTTATTTTGGGTCACATCATCTTTACACTTTTTACACGTTTTTTTTAAAATAAGTTAAAAAAAATTAAAAGTAAACTTTTAACCATCTTTTCAAAATAGGCTTAAAAAGAAGAGAGATATGAGATATGAGAGAGTGAGATACAATCAATGCGTAAAAGGGGTAGTTTGGTATCTTTATAGGCATTTTGGGGTGTTTGTTTGGATTTTTTTGAGTCAACCTATAACTTCTAACTTTGGAAAAGTTATTTTAGACTGTTTGGTTAAATTTATTTCAAACAGTTTCTGATTTTACACAACTTATTTTAACTAAAAAAAATTAATTCTGAGAAGTTGCTCACTCCTTACTTTTGATTATAAGTTTCAGCTGTGGACATATTAATTTATGGTTTTACTCTTAGATTTTTTTTAAAAAAAATAGAAAAAGACCTAAATGGACTATAAATTATTATTATTTTCTTATGAGAAAATGTAGACAAATAGTGAATAATAAAAATAAAAGTTAATTGAAAAAGTTACTTCACAGCTTATTTAACAAATACTGCTCAGCAACTTAAATCTATAATCAAACAGTTACACCAAATAGATTAACAACTTCTGATTAAAGTTATAATTTATAATCTTTTAAACTATAATTTATAATGTGTTTTAATAGTTACACCTAATTAGGACTGTCCAAAAATCCGTTCAAATCGGTAATTCGGACTGAACCGGAGGTTCGGTTATATTAAGAATTGGTTCGGTTTCGGATTAAGAAATATGAGAACCGTAAAACGGTTCGGTTAACGGGTTTTATGAAAAAACTATGGTTCGAACCGAACCGAACCGAATTTTAAAAGATATATATATATATAATATCAAGTTTTATTTTTATTAATTGTTTTTTTTATAATTTTAATGATATTAGGATGGTATATATATGTAATATTAAGTAATGCCTTCTGGTCCGATTTTACAAGTGTAACGATCTAATCTGATTCTCAAAATTACAAAACCATTAGAATCAATTCAATTCTTGAATTTTCTTAAAACCGAATCAATTCGGACAGTGTACCTCCAACACCTAATATGTGGACGGTTACCAAAAGAAATTCAATTTTAAAATTTTGGCACGAGAACCCAAAAAAAAAAAAATAGACAGTATAAACTTTATCAATGTTAATAATTAAAATCACGAAATTAAAAAATTACACTGCAGCCCGTTACACAACTCCAGCCGAGCAGTTCCCATTCTCTCTCTCTCTCGTTACGGAGGAGCTGCTTTCCAGTGTCATTTCCTCCCCTCCATCTCTCCACCGGATCTCAAAACCAAAAAACCAACACCCAACCCATTCTGTTGTTTCTAGGGTTCCCAAAACTCACCCCCTTCTCTCACTGGTCCTCTTGATCTTCAAGCACTCTTCGCTTTCTCATGCAATCATAATCAATTCTTCAATGGCCAACTCTCCTCCTCAGGTGTTCCTTTTCCCCCAACTCGTGTGTTCTATTATACAATATATTAGCACTTCGCTTTTTTGTAATTATTATTATTATTATTATTATTATTATTATTATTATTATTATTTATTTTTTTAATTGTATGTGAAGATTGGGTTCTTGGTTCCTCTGAACAACAATTTAGAAGAAGACACTTCAGTACCCAAATTATCAATTTCCCAAGGCTCTAACTTTGTGGGCCGCAATTCCATTTCACTCTCCGACAAGCGACTCAGCCGCAAACATCTCAACCTCGTCGCCTCTTCCGACTCTTCTGCCCATCTCATTGTGGTATTCATTCCCTTATATCTATTCCCATATATATATATATACATATTCAAATTTGAGTAAAAAGTTTATTTGATATGAGCCACTCCAGTGGACAAACTCAGATTTTAAGTATAAATTATAAATTTGAGTAAAAGCTTAACCCTTCACCAATTTTTTCATCTAATTTGATTTCAAATTTGAGTGACAAAAGTTTGATTTGATATGAACTACTCCAATTTTTTTGAAAATTCCACTCTTATCCAAAATTTTTATTGAATATGATGAAGGATAGTTCTTAATTTGATAAAAAAAAGAAAAGAAAAAAAGAGGACTCTCTTAATTTGATGAGCATTTGATGAAAAGGATTGGAGATGATTTTTGAGCACTTTTTCATCAAATTTAAATTTGATGAAGGATTGGCAGGCAGAGTTGTAAATTTGAGAACGCAAAAAAGTAAAACTTTGAGTTAAAAAAATTTGGTATAAGTTTGGATCGCGTAGTGGGAGGGCGTTTTGAGTGATTTTTTTACCCATATTTAAGTTTGATATTGGTTGAGTCAAGAATTGGAGTTGCTTTTACATATCTATATATACGGATACATACCCAGATTCTAGAATTTGTGTCAAATGAAATGTTTGAAATCATGTGATGCTAAAATTTGGTCACTTTTGGTTTATATATTGAATGGTATTGTAGGAAGGAACAAACCCAATTGTTATAAGATCCCAGGACCAGAGGAGGAAAATTAAATCTCGAGAAAGAGTGAAAATTAAACATGGTGACATTATTGAGTTGATACCAGGGCATTATTATTTCAAATATGTAACGATGGCTCCCGAGAAAAACTCATCTTCACCCAGTGAGAAGAGGAAAAGGACTCCAAAGGAAAGTAGTGAGCCTAGTGAAAGTGAGATGCAAAGTGTGAAGAGGAAGAAGCAATTGTCTGATGATGAAGCTCTAGCAAGAAATTTGCAGGTATTATTGTCCAACACCAGTTCAATACATAAAAGTTATTTTAATTTTAAATTTTTTATTAAATGAAGGAAAATTCCAATAGAAGAATTGGGATAAAGTGTGCATTTACATAGATGAGATCAGTAATCAAAGAGTAGTGGATTTACATGTGCAAAATTATTAATCAGCAATAGAATTCTTTCGTGGAATTTGTTCCCTGAATTGATCACTTTTTCTACCTTTCCTTTGCATGGAAGTCTGAGCTGTATGATGATAATCTAGCACGGGACAACTCTCTGGAGGCAATTCGTCATTTCAATGTTCCTAATGAGAAATTACCTTCAACTTTCCGACTTATGCGAGTGAAAGGGCTTCCAGCATGGGCCAATACCTCTTCTGTTTCTATAGGGGATGTGATTGAGGTAGCAAATCTTCATTTCAGCATAATAAAGTTAAATTTTGCAGACATTGATTAAGCCAGTTATATCATTGGTTCTCTTCTTAACAAAACATTTCCTCAATTGTGTGAAGGTCATCTAAGACATAGTTTTAAGTTTACCCCTAAATTTCTGAGCAGGTACCATTTGAGTGAGTACTTGACCGGCATTTGGGTTTAGTTAATATGTCCTGTGGGTGACTGTTTATTAATGCAAAATATTGAAATGGCTTTCATAAACTGGCTGACAGATAAAATTCTCCACTTAAAGACAGAAATGTGTATGTTCAGTGTGTATGAAGCACAGATACTTCAAGAAGGAAGTCGCATTTGTATCGGATACTGATACTCCTCGGATACTCGTGGATATGTATCCGATACTTCCTAAACATATCTGATACTTGGTAGTATTTTTTATTTTTATTTTTTTTAAAAATTTTGAGAAGTATCAGATACTCTAAGTCATGTATCCAAACTATTATGAAATTACGATCGTAATATTTCCTGCGTAGCTATAGAGTTGTTAACATAAATACGATAATAGTTTTCATTTCAATACTCAGTTTACTTGTTAGGGAATGAGAAAATAACATGATACTAAAATTGGATTTCAACAATTAAAAAAGCAAGAAACTTGCGTACAGCACATTAGTATGTAACACTTTTAGGTGTGAAAGGGAAAAGCACAAGGACAACATAAATAATTTAAACGTGACAGTGAAATGGAATTTTCACAGGTTGTATTAAAAAAAATAGTAAATTGACTACTATCTCATAAACTAATACCTAGATGCTAAAGTTGAGCTTGTGTATAATACAATATTAGGAACTATAATTTTTTTACGAACGTATCCTAGGCATACCCCCGTATCTTATTTTTGTAAGTTTTGTCATATCGACGTATCGTACTAGTATCCCATATCCCGTATCCCGTATCCCATATCCATATCCATATCCATATCCATGATTCATAGTTCAACGTGAACAAAATGAAAAGTTAATCTTAACTATTTCATAAAACTCTTGAGATGTAAATCCCTCAAAATTACTTGTGTCCTTGGAATTTGTTGGCTTGTAAGAAACTGTTCCATTTTGAGTACTAACTAGATATTACTTGGATAGTTTAATGTTGTTAATTTTCTCTTGGAAGGCCTTTTAAATTTTATTTTTGGTCCTGTATTGGTGGATATACAACTGATAGTTTTATTTATTGATAAATAGGTTTTTTGTTTATTCATTTGGTAGGGGAATGTTGTCATGGCTGTCCTTTCAAATTACATGGTGGACATGGATTGGTTGATTTCTGGTGAGCATGATTTATCATAGTTCTATCCTTTGTTTTTATTAATGGTCGCAACTTTGAATATCTTGTACTTTCCTCTGGTATAAGTACTTCAAGTTTGAGATGATCATAGATTAAAATAAGCTTGTTGAGGTGTCAATCTTTTCACTTGCACAAGCTGAGTACACTGTAGCTTCTTTAATTTTTGTGTGTGTGTGGTTTAACTTGGGGTCATGCAGCTAACAAATATGATTTATAGTTTACAAGCATATGCTCTCAATCTGCTAAAACTTGTCTTCAACTTTTTATGCTCCTATTGCTTGTGCAAGCTTGCAGCTTATAAACTCTTGATAATTATTAGTCTGTTCAATTGAATATTTAGGATCTGTTTGGTAACGTTTACGTTTTCAATTTATATTTATAAAATTTTTATAAACTAGTTTTTGTTTATTTTTTATTTATTTTTAGAAAAACAAAAACTACAAACGCGTTTGGTAATTGACAAAATGTTTAAAAAAATTTTAAAATATAAAAAAGAGTGAGAAATGGCAAGTGGTGGCAAGTGATGGCAGAAGACGGTGGTGGAAAGTGGTAACAAGTGACGGGTGGGTGGGTGGTGGTGGCGAAAGATGGTGGTGGAAAGTGGTGGCAAGTTGCGGGTGGTGGCGGCGGAAGACGGTGGTGGAAAGTGATGACGGGTGGGTAGATGGTGGTAGCAGATGGGTGGTGGATGGAGGGTGGTGGTGGCAGGTAGGTGGCAGATGATGGTGGTGGCGGGTGGCGGGTGATGGCTAGGGGTGGGCGCGGGTCGATTGTGGCCACGAAACCTTCAATTCGCCATCCGTCCGTCAGATTGGCGGATTGGAGAAAATCAATCCGCATCTGTCCGCCAATCCGGCGGATGTGGATTGAGCGGATTGCCTGTTCCAACACCTTTCGCAGGTCCTTTTGTAGGATAGGCTCAGAGGGGTCACTCATACCCCCAACAGCAGCCAGCACCACAGGGACAACCAGTCCCAAATATACCGCCCTATGGACCAAGAGGACCCC